TCTGAAATAAAACGAATAAAATTGTAGACAAGAATATTTGTCTACTATTTTAAATAACAGATATATTCAATTTTAATTGTATGACCACAAATTGAATTTAAAATTTTTATTTTAAGGAAACTCAAAAAAAAATGTGAAATTTTGTAAAATTATTTTTCAGTTTGGTGACCACAAATTGATAAATAATTTCATTAAAATTGAACTTTAATTTAATTTTTTATATGTAGTTTATAAAAGTAATTATTTTCATTTCAGATGATTCGAGTAAAAATTTGGTCACCCAGTCGTCTTGAAAGATATGCAGTTACCATAAGTGAGAATGAAGAGGATCCTATTGCTACGATAATAAAGAAAGGATCAGACAAATTAAATGTTTACGGAGCAACATTAGTTTCAGAAGATGACGGAACAAGAATAACCGACTTTGACAATCTTCAATTTTACATTGCATCACAGATTCCATTCATTTTACTTCAACACAACGAATTTTGGTTGCCTAGAAATATAGAAGAAACAGTTGGACCAAATACAGTAGCAATAGATGGTAATAATACAGAAGTAATAGATGGTAATAATACAGATCCAGATGTCGTTAATGCAGGTCCTGATCTTGCCCTTGATGACACCATTAATGATGAAAATTCTGTGGACCTTGGGAATATGGATAGACACGAAAATATCTCTAATAATACACAAGGAGCAGAAGAGATGGCACATAGTTCTGAGAGTCAAAATTCCAATATTCATAATGAAATTGACAATTATTTAACTCAAAAACTATCAACCTTCACTTCCTGGAAAGAATACACTGTTCCCTGGTCAAGTTTACCATCACTTGACGTCTCAGCATGCAAAAATGGCACAGCAAACTCAGAGACAATTAAAAATTTAGTCCATGCAATAATTTGCGAAATGCGTTTTTATAATGTACCCATTAGAAAGAAAGATTTGGAGTACATAGCAATACAATTTAAAACGACATTCCCAGATGTATTCACAGATAAAGACGACGACGGTAATCAACTGGACAATGGTTACAACGGACTTCTAAATAAATTAGAAAATCACAACCACTATTTCAACCGACCACCACAAAAAAGAAAAAACCTCACACAAAGCCTAAATATAAAATTGAAACATAGGAGATCATTGCAGGCTATTCAAAGCGGTACCAAAAATTGTTTTTATATTTTTCAGGACACAGCAGCTGAAGGAGAAATAGTTATAGACATCACTTTTCCCGTCATTGCTGTTCAAAGTAAGTATATAATAAATAATCTTCAAAATACTATAATCATATTATAATATTTTCAGAGTTGCCTCAAAGACTTCATTTTTTCTAAAAATAATTTGACATACAATACCAGTATACAAGAATTTCTAATATATTAATTTTTTAATAATATATATCTTCAATTGTAAAGTTTTTGTCCTTGATTTCCATGATCAATTTTGTTTTCCTTTACTCTGATTTCACTGACCAATGGCAACCCTAATTTTATATAACATACCTAAAATATTTATTGTAATATCTAATGTATTCGTTTTGCAGATTTACCAGTGAACGAGGAAGAGAACCTTCAGGAAAACAATGACAACAGATACAATTACGTAATAATATTCGAGAAGCAAATAATATATAAGTGCAATTCTTTGCTCAAAGCATTGCAATTGCTTATGGCAACCTACTTCACTTTTAATAAGACTTATCCAAAAGTACAAGGAAATCTGCTGCTGTTCATACAAACTTATTTCTTCAATATAACTTCGCGGGATGGAACATGCAGATCCAGAAGTCAGCAATTTAAGAATAAAGTAATCAATTTTTGCAACGCTTTGCAAAAAATCAACGTCGAAGAATTTGAACCGACTCCAGCATAAAAACATAGTAATTCAAAAAATATTTAATTTATCATAATTTTAAATATTATTTGTTTTGTTTCAAATACTTAGTACTTTGCAAAAAATCAATGTCGAAGACTTTGAACCTACTCTAGCATAAAAAACTGTGATTCTAAAAATATTTAATTTATAATGATTTTAAATATATAAATTGTTTTGTTTCAAACACTTGGTATAACTTTAAAGTGTAAAAAAATGATCTTAAAGTTAACAGTATTGTAGTTGTTATTTTTAATAATTGAGAATTATATCTTGAAATATTAAGCATAAGTTATTTTGTTTTAAACATTTTATGCGACCGAAAAATGTAAACTAATGTTATTTTGACTACTTTTAAAATTCAAATTATTGTGGTTTCCGTTTTATAATAATTATATTATATATTATTAAACAAATTATTTTGTTATAAAATACTTCGTGAGTTGGAATGTAAAAAAATTATGTTTATTAGATCACATTATTGTGTTTTCCATTTCATTTTAATAAACAAAATTTTATCCCAATGAATGTAGTTAATTTATTTCAATCTTAATTATTTGAATTCCTTTTCCTGTATTAAAAAATTTAGTTTATATCTGATAAAATTATTTCTACTTTTAAAAATCAAAAAATAAATTGAATATTACTTTTTCTTACTAATTTACAGTTTAATATGTGTGAAACTACTTTTTTTTCTGTAAAAGTACATAAAAAAGAGAATCTATTAATTCCTGTAATTTTACAGATTTTTTTGGCGATTTTACATAACCTATAAGTAAAATTGTAAATCTCGGTATTTCCACACGTAACATTTGTAATAATGTTACGTTCATTGTAGGTAATATTCGGACCCACATTCAGAGTAGTAAATGTACAGGAAATTTTTTTTACAGTGCAAGCGATTTACTTCTGCATTTACTAGTCGCATATGATTTAACTAACTTCGGACTAAATCGGACTAATTACGGATTCAATAGTTATAAAAAACGGTATTGATTTCAAACTTAATTCATGGTGAAAAAACTCCACAATAAACCGCATTGTTGCGGATAAATTCCGGATTAGTCTGAAATCGGTCCCACTTTTTATTCAGGGTATTTACTTACGGCAAATAAAATATTTAATTCTGCAGTCAGTTTGTTGTTACAAATTTACTAGTAGGTATTATTAGTTATCTTGTTTGAATATTAAAATTAACACTGATGTGTTAGTTTCTTGTCATTTTTTTTGTGGCACTTCATAAATTCTATTATGAATTTGAACTTCCATGCGAGCGTGGTATAGTGGTTAGTGTATTCGATTTCGATGCGATATAATGTTAGATAGGTGTAGGTTCGAATCGCCAAGCGTTAGAAATGTTAAGTTAATGTAAATAAAATTGCGATAGGTAAATCGAAAAATATGATGAATGTAGCATAAAGTAATAATAATTAATATGTAAAACTTGTATAATTATTTTTTTATTAACGTTCACTAAATTGTCTGGACTAACTTTTGTCTGTTTCGAACTAATTCCGGATTCACTAGTTAAAATTAACTGATTAATTTCAGACTTCATCGGACCAACTCCGGTTTCACTAGTTGTTCACAAGCCGTATAGAATTCAGATTTTTCCGGATTAATTTCGGGTGACAAAAACCTGACCATAAACCGCATTGTTTCGGACAAATTTCGGATTAGTCCGAAATCTGTCTGGTTTTTTAACCAGGGATATTTACAAATCACGTATATAGGGGGAACGGGACATAATGGCTAAGGGGCGTAATGAATAATTGTAATTTATTTAAAAATCGTAAATCGAAATGATTTCGCTCCAAAGACAACTTGATGTACTGCAAGTTTCTACAAAGTTTGATTATTTATTATTCAATCACTATTGTAAGAAATATAGTAGAAAACTGTATTTTACATATGAAAGTAACTTTTCAAAATATGTATATATATATATATAGTTCTACAAGTATGAAAATTATTGCAGGTTTGTACCCATATTGACTTTTCTTTTTGCTATTTTTTTAAAACTTTTTTCTCTTTTTTGGTTTATTTCTCTCAGGTTTTTAAGGTATTTCATTAATTAATTTTTTTTCTTTTGTTTTACTTTTGAATTATATGTAGTTTAGTATTGATTTTAAGTTTTTAAAATCAAGCAAATAGCTTGGTCTTCAATTATAAATATTTCGGACAATTCTATTGATAGCGATGATTTTTCCGATGATTTGGGAAATTTATCATCTGATGAATTAGAGGAATCTTGTGATAGAGCAGATAATGATTTTGACTTTTCGTCTGAAGAAGATGAAGAAGAACCTTTGTTAAAGGATTGGAAGCAAGTGCCACCAAATAAACCTATAAATGCTTCTCGGTTTACATTCACGGCTAATCCTGGTATCACGGTTGAAGTAGATGCAACTTGGCAAGATCTAGATTTTTTAAAACTATTTCTTGATGAAGAAGTCATTAATTTAATTGTCATCAAAACAAACCGGTACGCTGCACTTCACAAAAAGAAAGACTGGAAACCAGTCACCGTTGATTAATTTGGGGTCTTTTCATCAATTCTCGTTTATCAAGGGATAATTGTTAAACCGAAACAGCGATGGTACTGGTCGAAAAATAAACTTATTGAGACTCCATTTATCTATAGTTTGATGAATTTACAGCGATTCGAATAAATTTTAAAGTTTCTACACTTGTTAAGGAATTAGTTTATTTTTATTAAGTTTGATTTTAGGTTCGTGCCACGCCATGTGACCACAGCAATTATTTAGACAAAACACTGATAAAACAAAATATATAGTTGGATTGCATAATAAAACAGCTTGATTTTTTATAAACACATTTAACTATTAATTTAGCTCGTTCTTAATTTAAACTGATTTACATTTAACGTTTAATTGTAAGATTAATTACACACTCTTTTTTAACAAAATCTGGTCATGGCCATTTTCTTTTTAGTAATAGATAAAAGGAACAAGAAGGAAGCGCTCTATGCGCCCTCTATATTTTTCATACTTCCGTTCCGCGCATTTTAAATAATATAATATCAAACAGTACCGCCGGCCTTGAATTCCTTCGGGATTCAAATTTAACGAAAATTACATTAAAATTATTACAATACTTTACATATCAGATTCATTACTGTTCGCTTGAAATGGTAATACAACCACTTCAGTAATAGGACGCAAATATTCGGAAGTAGATGTTTTAACTTTTACAACTCTATCTAAATTGTCAGACGATCTCTTAATTTCTATGATTCTACCTAGCACCCATTTTGTAGGCGGAACGTTTGGTCGTCGCAATAACACCATTTGACCAACAATGATAGAATCCTCGACATCTTGCCATTTGAAACGTTGTTGTAAAGTCCGTAAGTAATCATTTAACCACTGATTCCAAAAACTTTCAGTACATTGTAGCATATGTTGCCACCGCGATAATTGATTTTGTTTTAAATGACAAAGCGATGGTTGAGGAATAGCCGAAAACGAGCCACCTATTAAAAAATGAGCCGGTGTTAATACATTTAAATCGTCAATATGCTCGGTGATTGGAGTTAAAGGCCGCGAATTCAAAATAGCAGAAATTTGATAAATTGCAGTAGATAATTCCTCATATGTCGGAGTACTCGAACCAAACAACTTGACAAGCTTTGCTTTCATACTTTTAACGGACGCCTCCCATAGACCTCCGAAGTGAGGCGCTGCCGGAGGATTAAATCTCCATTGAATGCGATCTTTAGCGATTATATTTTTAAATTCGACACTTTCAACTGCGCTTTCAAATGCAACACGAAGTTCTTTACTTGCGCCTTGAAAATTTGTTCCGCAATCACTGTACATGCGCTGAGGAAGACCACGCAAAGAAACGAATCTTTGAAACGCGGCAATAAAAGCAGATGATGTATAATTCGTTACAATTTCTAAATGAATTGCTTTTACCGCGAAACAAACAAATACGGCAATATAACAACTGAGACCGATTTCCGCGACCGCCGGTCATTCGAACCTGCATAGGGCCTGCGTAATCTATGCCGCAATCTATAAATGCTCGTTCAGGCCTTGTTACCCGTGTACGTGGCAAATGTGCCATCAGCTGTGTAGCTAATTTTGCTCATAATTTCACGCAAGTAACACATTTGTGTAGGATTGATTTAATTAATGGTCGTGGATGTATAATCCAATAAGTTTGTCTAAGATAACTCAATGTGTCTCGTAATCCGCCGTGAATTGTTTTCTCGTGAGCTTCCCAAATTAACATTTTAACAATAAAATGATTTTCGAATAGTATCGGATGCTTTGCTTCAAAAGCAAAATCGGAATTGTCAAGACGACCGCCCACTCGTAAAAGTCCCTGATTGTCGAGAAATGGAGTTAAAGACCTTAATTTGCTCTTTTGTGAAATTTGTGAGTTAATTTTTATTGAGTGAATTTCTGATTGAAATTGTTGCCCTTGATTGTACAGATACCAAATGATTTCTGCATTGCTTAATTCTTTGGCAGATATTGGATTCGAGAATCGAATATTTTCGTCAGTATCGGATCTGAATTTCCATTTAATGAATCTTTGCAAAATAACAGTTGCTCGTAATAATTTAGTTCACGAAGAATATCTGGAAGCAAAGTTATTCATTATATCGGGAATTGGTTCTACATTAAGGTGTACGTGACCTTTTGATTCTAAATTGGTTTTAAATTGTGTCGGAACAATTGATGGTGGCCAATGAGTTTCAGATAATGATAACCACTCTGGGCCATTCCACCAAAGATTGGATTTTATCAATTCTTGAGGTTGAACTCCACGAGACGCTAGGTCAGCGGGATTTGATTGTGATGAAGTATGACGCCATTGGTGATCAGGCAGCAATGTCTGGATTTCCGAAATTCGGTTCGCAACATACGTATGCCAATGAGAAGGATGTTTGTTAAGCCAAGATAATACAATTGTGGAGTCGGTCCAACATTGAATCGGGATGTTCGAAAATACTTCATATTGACAAACTGAAGTCACTAAACGAGATAATAGGGTTGCACCTTGTAATTCTAATCGTTGTATGCTTATTTGTTTGACAGGGGCAACTTTAGTTTTACTCGTAATGATTTGAGTAATCACTTCGTGAGAAGACAATGTTACTCTTAAGTATAAAACGGCACCATACGCGGTTTCCAATGCGTCAGCAAATCCGTGAATTTGAACATCAAGGTTATCCGGATGTAAATTTAACCAACGCGGAATAGTCAATTCGTTTATGTAGTTCAATAAATTTACATAGTCAATCCAGGTAGCTACTGTGTCATTGTCTAAACTCTCATCCCATGAACATTGTTTTCGCCATAAATTTTGCATAATGATTTTTCCCGAGATTATTATTGGTGACAACCATCCCACCGGGTCATACATTTTCGCTAGAACAGAAAGAACGGTTCTTTTTGTAACTGTATCCAATTGAATAGGTTCAACTTTAAATTGAAAACGATCAAGTGTGGGGTTCCATTCTCATCCTAGAATTTTTATACCTTCTTCGTCATTCAGGGGCGATGACCAAGCAAGACCGTGATCATGTGGATCGATATCTGATAACAATAAAGGAGAATTACTCGCCCATTTTTTAGGTGTGAAGTGAGCTTTTCCCAAGAGAGCTAATAATTTGTCGCGAATTTCTTTTGCTTCTCGCTTCGATGACCCACCGAACATCGCGTCATCTATGTAAATATTGTGATTTAAAACATATGAAGCTAATGGAAACGCTGAACCTTCATCAATTACTAATTGTTTTAGAACTCTTAACGCGAGATACGGGGCTGAGCGTGTTCCGTATGTTACAGTGAGAAGTTGGTATTCACTAATCGGTTGATCTGGCGATAAACGCCAAAATATGCGTTGATAATCAACATCATCCAAATTTATTAAAATTTGACGGTACATACGAGCAATGTCAGCAGTATAAACATATTTGAATACGCGCCAATGAATTAAAACGATGAAAAGGTTAGGTTGAAGTTTTTGACCGACTCTCATATGATCGTTTAAAGAAGTTCCGTTAGTTGATGGGGTTGAGGCATGAAATACTGCTCGCATTCTCGTAGTAATACTGGTTTCCCTAAACACCGGTTGATGAGGAATGTATACTATCTGATTTGAAGGATTTTCTAAACTTTCAACTTTTTTCATGTCATGAAGTGTTTCATACTTCTCCATGAAGTCACTATAAAGTTCTTCATGAACGGGATTCTTGTCGAGACGTTTTAAAGATTTTTCTGCGATTTGTTTCGTATGTCCAATGTTAATTGGCTTATCTGTCGTGAATGGATAACTAACACTATATTGCCCATCGGGTTTTCGCGAATGTGTTTTTTGAAAATGCTCTTCACAGAGTTCGTCATCAATAGACATGATTTCTTTAGAGTTTACTTCATCGATTTCCCAAAACATCTGTAAGCACGAATCGAGACTTTTATTCGTAATGCAATGATGAATCTGAACGCTAGATTCATTTTGATCGCTAACTGATAACAGAGATCTGGATAAAACCCACCCAAATATAGTATTTTGTGCAATTATTTCCCCCGGTTTACCTTTTCTTAATCCGTCCGAAATTAGAGAACCATAAAGCTCGGCGCCTATAAGTAAGTGGATAGGATCATTATTATAAGGGTCATCTGCTAAGTTTAGATTTTTTAAATGGGACCACTGTTCGAAATTAATATTTGATTGAGGCACATAAGAGGTTATTTTTGGAATAACTAAGGCTTGCGTGTTAAAAACAGGATTACCGTTCGGATTTGAAGAAATTCCTATCGAGATGGCAGAATTTGCATTTCCTGCGCTTGCACCCCCTACGCCTGTCAGTGATGCTGATATTGGTATACTTTTAGAGTTTAAAAATTTTGCAAGCTCTCGAGAAGCAAAGGTCCAAGTTGATCCTTGATCAATCAACGCTCGAACACGAATAGCTCGCATTAAAGGAGATAAAACCCATACTCGCGCAATAGCAAGTAAAACGTTATTTGATTTTATTGCGCTTGGTGCGGCAAAATGAGACTGAATTTTAAACGAATCAATTATTTGAAAACCTGTACAGTTTTGACTTGTGTTGTCATTGGAATCTTTATCGTGTTCTGGTTCCGGCTTAGTTTCGCGGTGAAGTGAAGTGTGATGACGTATTTTACATTTAGTGCATGTGAATTTACTCGGACAATCATTATTTTTATGCTGAGCTCGAAGACAATTTGTACAAACTCGATTTGCTTTAACGTAATCATACCTTTCTGAAACTGATTTTTGATTAAATTTGTCACATTAGATTTACAAAGAAAGCAAGTGTTTTCTCGAGGTGATGCCATATGAGTACTTACATTTGCGCGATTTGATTTTGAGAAATCCTTCGAATGCGTAACGGGCTTGGAAGTTATATTATTATTATTATTATTTATTGTTGCAGTTGGCAATGACTCCAACGGTCGAATTCTGTCAAGAAGGAATTTTTCTAAATCTGAGTAATCTGGACATTCTGTTGACGATGACAATTTTAACTCCCAATCTCGCTGCGTCTTCGGATCTAACAATGATTCGAAGTTGAATTTGACATATGTTGCATTTGTGGTTGAAGTTCAGCTAGAAGTTCTGCGTAGACATCAAAATTGCTGTAGAAGTCCATTTCCTTTTGTCCAAATTTATCCTCCTTAAAGTAGTCGTCTAGTTTTTGGTTCGGATTTGCACAATGCGTCAATAAAGCATGTCGTTCTCGGCAGTTTCTCCACAGTGATTCGACGAGAGTACATCTATTGCGAATTACTATTGGTGACCGACGTTCTAGATCCAAATCATCCATGTATTTGAAATGTCTATCAATAGATTGAAAATCTGCATTTTGAAATGTTAATAATTCCTCGAAATTAGGCTCCATGACTCGATTGTGTAACTTCACTCGAGGGATTTATTAATTTTGTTTTATTTAATTCACTTTAGTCACTAATTTCTTATTGTTTATTTGTTTATACACATAACGTTGTGCACTTGTTTATTTTTGGTTATGTTACTCGTGTATATTGACACTCAACAGATGTTTATATTATGATCATAAAGAACACTACCTTATCGACTATTGTTGATAAATTTCACTTGGCGTGAAAGAATGACTGATGGTAACTCGATTTCATTATTGTAATGAATACTATAAAACTTTATTTATTTAATTTTATATTTTATTAATTTTTTTATTTAATTTTATCTTTTATTAATGCCATGATTCTGGTAGGATCGCCAAATTGTTAAGGAATTAATTTATTTTTATTAAGTTTGATTTTAGGTTCGTGCCACGCCATGTGACCACAGCAATTATTTAGACAAAACACTGATAAAACAAAATATATAGTTGGATTGCATAATAAAACATCTTGATTTTTTATAAACACATTTAATTAATAATTTAGCTCGTTCTTAATTTAAACTGATTTACATTTAACGTTTAATTGTAAGATTAATTACACACTCTTTTTTAACAAAATCTGGTCATGGCCATTTTCTTTTTAGTAGTAGATAAAAGAAACAAAAAGGAAGCGCTCTATGCGCCCTCTATATTTTTCATACTTCCGTTCCGCGCATTTTAAATAATATAATATCAAACAACACTTCTCAAACAATGAAACTTATGATGCTGCAACTCATCCCAATCCTAAGCTAAAAAAAATTTGGGAAGTGTATGAGATTTTAAATAGAAATTTTGAAAAAATGTACATTCCCGAACGTGATATAAGCATAGACGAAAGTTTGATGGCATTTAAAGGTAAACTCAGTTGGAAGCAATTTATTCCCACAAAGCGGGCCAGATTCGGTTTGAAGTTTTTTAGGATGTGTGAAAGTGAGTCTAGTTACATTCTAAAAACAATTCTTTACACAGGCAAAACAACCGAAAAAAAATTAACAAAATTGCTCAATAACAACATCGATTGTGCTAAAACTGTGCGAAAATTTGTTAAACAAAGGATATTGCCTAGTCATGGACAACTTTTATAATTCTCCTGAATTATATGATTTGTTGTTGGCCCACAAAACAGACGCATACGGAACACTAAGATCCAATAGAAAAGGTTTGCCAGATGGGTTGCGAAAAACGAAGTTAAAAAAGGATGAAGCAGTTTGCTGGGTTAAAGAGGACATGGTTGTGATGAAATGGTGTGACAAAAAAGAAATATCGTTGATAAGCACTTGTCACGATGTTACTTTTGAAGAAACAACACCAAAATTTGGTCCGAAAAAATTAAAACCAACGATTGTTTGCGACTACAACCAAACAATGAGAGCGGTCGATAAAGCTGACCAACAAATGACCAGTTACTCTATTATGAGAGCTCAGCAAAAAAAATATTATAAAAAACTGTTTAGGCATTTAGTTGATCAGTGTTAGCTAAACTCTTATATATATTAAATAAGAAATATCAAAACAGAGCCCAAGAACATGTAAGTTTCCTAATGCAGATTGTTATACAAATCGTTCAAAAGCATGGAATTAATCTACCTAAAAAAGCAATTGGGCGACCTAGAATTGAAAAAAGTTTGACAGGGGACAGTCCTCCTAGTAGATTAAGTGGCAGGCATTTTCCCAAATTTGTTCCACCTACTTATGAAAATGATCACCCAACCAGAAGGTGCGTTATTTGCTGCCACAAAACAAAAGGTAACAAAAAAATTCGCAAAGAATCACGATACTTCTGCAAAGAATGTGATGTCGGATTATGCGTCATCCCTTGTTTTGAAATTTATCACACAAAGGAAGATTTTTAAATAGAGGAAAAGAAAAATTTCAGTGTGATTATCTATTTAAAAAAAAGAAAGTGAGGGAACTTTTAAAAATTATAAAATCCAAAAAATATACAAAATGTAAAAAAAAATTTAAAAACAAAAAAAAAACAAAAAAAATTAAAAATTATAAAATCCAAAAAAAATATAAAACTTAAAAAAAGTAAAAAAAAACAAAGGGATGTAAATAGTAATTAGGAGCCTCGACGTGGCACATCCTGGGTGTACCTGACCTTATTAGGTATAGCAGATCCTAATCATTGAACAAAATAAAAAATAATTAACACTACGTAAAACTATATTGAATGTAACGTAAAGAATTTTTTAAATTTCATTTCATGTTCGTAACCAGCGACTTCAAAAAACCCCAATGCTACTTTTCATAAAAATCCAACAATTTTTTGAAAATTCGTCCGCCATATTGGATCCACAATTTTGAATTTTCAAAAACTGACTTCAGATTCGTAATCAGCGACCCCAAAAATCCCTAAATACCAAGTTTTATAAATATCCAACAACTTTTGAAAAAAGACATCCGCCATATTGGATCCGCCATTTTGAATTTTCAAAAACTGACTTCAGATTCGTAATCAGCGACCCCAAAAACCCTTAGATACCAAGTTTTATAAAAATCCAACAATTTTTGAAAAAAGTCATCCGCCATATTGTATCCGCCGTTTTGAATTTTCAAAAACTGACTTCGGATTCGTAATCAGCGCCCCTAAATACTTTTACTTATTAATTTGTAAGAATATTTAATAATTTTAAAAGAATTTATGTGCCTGAGAGGTAACGATTTTTATAACGCTTTTTTCCTTTTTTGTACAATAGTTTAAAGACACCATTTATTAATAAATAAAAAATTTCCAAAGTTTTAAATAATTTTCTTATAATCTTTGGACCGACAGCTACATTTGCAATTTGATCCACGTGTTTACGTTAATCTGAACAAAAGTTATTAACGAAAATGTTTGGACGAATATATTCGTCCACGTGCATACGGTAACACTTTAGTTTGGATGAATATATATTCGGCTCTATACGCAGGAGGGTTAATAAATATACAGTATAGAACCCTGTCGGAATGAAACATTCAATTTAAATTTAATTACCACAAACTTTAGTACTATTAGTGGCTACTTAAACCACAAAATATTATGGAATTTTATTTGAAAATATACGAGGGGGAGGGAGTTGAAAATGTTGGTCCAGTTTAATCAGTAATTTTTTCAAAAAATCATATAGCTACTATACATAAAAAAGTTAAAAAATTTTATTCTATATACTTTAGGAAGATTTTTGTTCCTGTTTCTTCAAATACGGAAAAAAAAAATTTTTTAATTAAAAATTTGATCTTTTTTTTACATTTTTTTGAAAATGAACCCTTTTATTTTTTTTCTTTTAGCCTGAAAATATAGCTCAAGATGAATATTTTTAAAAATTAAAATGAAAAAAATGCCGTTTTCTTTCGTTTTTGAGATAGTAATTATTTAATTAATAATAGTTAATACAAAATTATATATTTTATAAACAAATACAGTTTGACAGAGTACTTGCCTAATGTCAAATAAATAATTTCTAAACAAATAAACCTAAAAAAACGAAAAATGTAAAAAATATTTTTTACAGCATGTAAAAATACATTTAACTTTTCGCCCCAGGGTGCATTTTTGGCTTTAACAACAAATATAAAAAATCTGACTAAAGATATTTAGCAAATACCTAAAAAAATCGCGATGAGAATAAATTTAAAAAATATACCTACTTAAAAGTTGATATTTTCTTTTACGAAAAAATTTTCAAAAGTAGGGTAAAAAAAAATTTAAATATGGACACCACAAAAATTAACAGAATGTCACATAACTCCGGACATTTATTAAGAGTGATAACACCCTTCTAACCGACAGATTAGCTCAGTCGGATAGATGCCTCGCTTGGCGGTCGTTTAAGGACCAAGGATATAAGTACCCTTGGTTCGCGCCCATTTGGCTTGGTATTTTTCCGGTACGTGAGATAATCTGAGCGGGAGGTTTGACGTCGAGGTATAATGATGTGCACCGTCGAAAAAAGTTATAAACAAAAGTCAAAAAGTGGGCCGACCTCGACTATGTTCCCCTACTAGAAAAAAGATAAAAATTGGTCCTTTCTTTAAAAAAAAAAGTAAGAAATATTTTTCATTTTCAAAAAAGGGTTACATTTTTAATTTAAAAAAAAATTAGAGAAAAAACAAAGGTAAAAAATTTGTTTCAAGCTGTTGTATAATAGATACAAACTGTCAAAAATCTGCTATTCCGATAACCTGTGTATTTGAGGTTGGTACACTTGAGAAATTTTGACCCATATATACATATAATTAAGTTTTTTTAAATGTATACAAAATTTTGGAACTGAGTGATAAGAAGTCTTCTTAAACAATATTAATTATAATAAAGTTTTTGAGGGATAAAGTGATGGCTTAATTTCTCCACTTGAGAAAACCAAAGTCTACGCTAAAAGCGAGGAATCTGGTTTTGTCAACTGAACTGCCATCTAACGATGACCTTGGCGTTCGCAGGTGGAGAGTAGCATCTCCATATTGAATCTCAAAATGTTCGTAATTCTATAATTATTGCTTCATCATGGAGTAACTTTAAATGTCGCATAACCAACTTATTCTCAGCTTAGATTGACCTATTTTTGAACCTAATTCGATCTGAAATTACGAAATTATTGGAATTTTAAAAACCAAAAATTATGGAAAATATCATTTTCTCAACTTTTTTGTTTAAAAACTGTTCTTTAACTTACTATTACAGTAATAAAACCATCTTATCTTACGTTTTACCGAACTATTCAATAAATATGAATGTAGCGAGCACATAGCTTACGTTTTACCGAACTGTAAGTGAAGCGCTAATACATGTATAGTAAGGTTTATGCTTTTTACATTATTTTTAAATTCAATTTCTTTTACAGTCAAGTTCTTGAAAAATTACTGTTTTGACAGTTCATCCCAGTTTTACCGAACTAAATTCAGTAAAATTTCAGGAATAAATTTTCTCCGTGTAAACTCTATAATATTAAATCTTAATTTCAATATACACCATCGTTCTGATGCAATATTTTAAG